GGGGGGGGGGGGCACGGAATAGGAGAGTCAGAGCATCAGTCAGTTGTTGAATTTGAGAACCCAGCCCCCGAGAAATCAGTGTCCTCAGCAACTTTAAAACCTTGCTGGTCTCACCTCTGACCTTCCAGCTTCCCTGTCAGCTGGTGGCCCAGGCTCTGTCCGGAGGCTATCCTGGGCTGGGTGCTGCCCCACACTCAGGGCCTCAGGGACCCAGGATCTCACTGTCCCTTGCCGAAGCAAGCAGGAGGGTGACCTAGGTTGGCCCATTGCTGAGAGAAACCCCGGAGTAGACCCACGCAGGCAGTGCCCAGGCCCAAGTGGCCAGGGACTGGTTATTTCCCAAGGTCAGGTCACAAAACACATGTGACTAGGAGCTGGGAGTCCTGCTTCCCACTTCTAGCCCTGCCACCGACTTGCTGTGGGACCCAGGAAAGTCGCTGTCCCTCTACCTGCCTCAGTTTCCCATGCTACAGCAGGAGTGGGGCATACAGAGCCCCGAGGCTCCGTGGATACCCTTGGGCTCTCCCAAACTGATGATAGCTCTTGAGACCTGAGCAGGGGGGTGGCAGAGGTCCTCACCTGGTACAGAGCCACACTGGTGGGCTCCTGGGGGGCTGGCAGGCTCCTTGCTGACCCCTGGGCCACTGACCTCAGGCTCCCGCCATCTGCGACACTTCTTGATTCACTTGCACTGTCCATGCGCAGCCTCCAGAGGGCATGGTCAAGACCCTAGACCGGCTCTGTCTGCCGCTGCCCACCCAGCCCTGTGCCTGCCCCACCCACCCATCTGCTCAGGGGCCGGTGGATGAAGGTGAGCTCCTGGGCTGTCAGCAGGATCCAGTAGGGGCCCCGCACGAGCTGCAGCTGCTGGATGCTCAATCTGGAGGTGAGAAAAGTGCAGGACAGAGAGGATGGTGCAAATATCACTCCCCCCATCTGGCTCCTCGGAACTGCCTCTGACCCAGAGCCCTCCCCCGTCCTCTCCCTGTTTCCCTTCCTGTCTCCCCATCAGTCCCAGCTGGGCTGAAGGGCACCACTGAGCACTGTCCCCCAAGAGCCCCTAGGCCCAGCTCAGGGCGGGACCCTAGGCCTGATGTGCCTTCGGTTCCCTAGCCTCTGTGTTTCCAACTCACCTGGAGATCTCATGGGGCAGCCAGAGCCCAGGGTGAGAGCTGGGGGCAGAAGACTACCCGCTGCTGGATGTGGCTGAGGCTCAGGGAGCACAGAGGACTTCAAACCCAGGAAGAATTGTTTTCCAAGCTGAAGAGCCCTGGGGGTCCTCCTGACCAAGCCCTCACTGTACAGATGTGTAGCCTGAGCTCAGGAAGGATGGAGTCTTGTCTGAGGGCCCAGGCTTCTTCCCCAAGTCTCAAAGGACCTCCCAGGAGGTCCTCTGCCGGCCTTGATAGGGTCCTGACTGAAGCTCTAGGATGGACAGGAGGGTGGGGAGGTCCTGAGGGTCTGGGACAGAGGATGGGAAAGCTGCCTGCAGATGCCAGGGCTGTGTATAGAGGAGAGGCCCTGTGGGGTGGGGGGCACAGAGGGACAGAACGAGGCTCAGATGCACAGGATCTCACCTGATGAGGCAAGTGAGGGCCTGCCGGCCAGCACCAAGACACAGGTCAGGGCCAGAACGAGGAGGCCGCCTGGGGGCTGCTTACCTGTGAGGAAAGCAGGGTTGGACGTGAGTCCCAACAGTAACAACTGCACATGGAGCTCAGCCCCTTCACTCAGCTCCTGCACCTACTCCTGGGTCCTCCTCTGGGATGTGAGGACACAAAACCCTGCCCAGCACCCTCTCCAGGGCAAGGATGGCCCCAGACCGGGAAGGTCCTGCCTGTGGACTGGTCATCACGCACAGATGTTGATTCCCAGCACTGCTGTTAGGGTTCTCACCTCAGGCTCCTGGCCTCCAGGGGCCCCACAGACCCTGCTCAGACCCCATGACTGTCCTGACCACACTCTGGCCCTTGTCTGCCAGCATGTGAGGCTCTTTGCACTAGACTGAGAGCAGCTGGACAGCAGAGCCTGTTCTTATTCATCTCGGGGTCCCTAGGCACCTTACACAGGGACTGGACAGGCAAGATGCTGAATAAATACTGTGGATCCCTGTCAATGATTATCCTACTTCTTGCACACTCCCCACGATGGGCCACTCACTACCTCTTTTGGCAGCCAATTTCAGTGTCATTCACTTTGACTGTTAGAAGGGCCCTCCTTACACTGAATCTAAACCTCTCCAGCCCTCATATCAGGATTGGGTGTGAAAAGGCTGCTCAGGACCGCTGGGCAAGGTGGAGAGGGCTACTTTGCTTGGGCAACCCCAGCTTCAGCCTGGGCTGGCAAGGTGGTGAAATGCCAGGGCCTATTCTGGAGAGAGGACATTGACCTCCACTGCCACAGAAGTTGGGGGGAGGCATACCTTCTTCCTTCTTTGCCTCCCTCCCTTCCTGTCTTTTGCTGAAGGATAAGCACTGACTGTCTGCCCGTGGGTGAATCTCCCCCAATTTGAGTTAAGTCCAGATAATAATAATAGCACTGAATAGCTTGTAGTACCCACTATACTATACATTGTATTGCACTGAACACCTATTCTAAGGATGTCACGTATTTCAATTCAGTTATTCTGCACAACGACCTCTAGAAGTAGGTACGGTCATGACCATGATTTTGTGGAAGAGAAAGCAGAGAGATAGGCAACTGTATGTGAGTGGCAGAGCCTAGGTTCAAACCCAAGCAGCCTTGCTCAGGCATCTGGGCTCCCAGCCACCGCCCACGCTGCCCCTCGCCCAGGCTCCTAGAAAGGAAGCTTGACTTGCCATCTGGAGGGGGTGAGGGAAGAAGCATAGACAAGAAAGCGGTCCAGGCCTAGGGAGCCGCAAGCACAAGGGTTCTGAAGCGGCAGTGTTCCTGGTGTGTTCAGCGGGAGGGCAGCACCACATGTGAGGAAGACGGCGGGCAGGGAGCTGAGGGCAGACAGGGCTCTGGCTGGACTCCGGGCAAGGGAAGCATCTGCAGGCCTGAGCAGGGGAGAGTCAGATCTGACTATGTTTTCCGAGGATCCTCCAACCTGCCACGGTGAGGTCCAGGACAAGAGCAGAAGCAGGGAGGCCTGCAGGGAGGCCGCTGCAGTAACCTAGCGAGAGACGACAGGGGCCTGGACCAGGGAGGAGACAAGGGAGTGGTGAGCAGGGCTCTGCTTCTGGGCGAATGCTAAAGATGGAGCCCCAGGGTGCTGCTGACAGGCTGGGTGTGGGGTGTGAGGAGACGAGGGTGCCTGAGGCTCGGGGAGGATGGGGCTGCCATCATCTGCAGTGGGGAAGACGATGGGAGGAGGCCGGGGGGCAGATCGGGAGTTCAATTTCAAAGTCAAGTTGGAGATGCCAATTAGTCATCCAAGTAAGAGAGGCCGCTGAGGGGTGGCGGGAGCCTGAATGAAACATCGTCCCAACCCTCATGGAGCTAATACTCTCGAAGACCAGCCCCAGGCTCCCCTCTCCGGGGGATTCTGTCTGGTGGCAGAGGCAGGAACAGCAGAGATAACACCACACAATGTGGTAAAGCCGTGATGGAGGCAGCCAGGGGCTGCTGGAGCCCAGAGATCTCTACAAACACCTCCTCTATCAGCCCTGGCTCGCAGGCTTTACCCTCTGACAGGTATTCATTCATTCATTCAACAAATCCGTCAGCAAACGTTTCCGGAACATCCACTGTGTGCTGAGCTCAGTGCCGAGCATTGAAGACGCAACGGCAGATGAGAGTCACAGTCACTGCCAGCACTGTGATGGAGCTCACAGTGTACTGGGGGGTCAGAGGTGAGGGCAAGTGCTCTATGCCAGTGCAGGGATGATGGTTCATTCATTCCTCCTTCCCTAGGGCTGAGCACAGTGCCTGGTGCCTAGGAAGTCCTCAGTCAATATTTGTGGAAGAAAAGAGAGGCAAAGAAACCGTTGGGTGAAGGCTTCTTCTTATGAGCTCCCATTAGTCTGGGGACAGATGGCACTGGTCCTCCCCAGCACAGGACACACACGCCGTGAAGTCGTGCACCCAGAGGCTATGGGGAGCACCGAGGTGGGCTCCCAGCCCTGACTGCACAGTTGTTCTGCAAGGAAAGGAAGGATTTAGCCAGGCAAAGTGGGAGCACTCGAGGAAGAGGAAAGCGCACGTGCACAGGGAGGCCAGAAAGGGTGGCGTGTGTCTGGGGAAAGGAGAAGCTAGGCAGCATTGGAAGATGGAGGTAACAGAGCCGCAGAGCTGAGGTCAGGGGGTGGGGTGGCTGCTGAAGGTCTGGGGCGGGCAGGGACATAAGCGAGCCTGTGGCCAGACCTGAATCTACCCACCGACAGTGGTAACTGTAACTAGGTGCGCACTAGGAAGTGTGGGTGCACTTGTGTATACATGTAGACGTGTGCTCATCTCTGTCTACCTATGTGCTTGTATGTCAGTGCAATTCCAGCAGGGATGGAAATCCAGGTAGATGAATGTCAGAAATGAGAACATGTGGGCCTCACAGCTCACACTCCCCAGTGGTCACGACGTAAAGGGAATCCTGCACTTGGAGTCGAAGACTTGAGGGCTCCCTGTGTGACCCTGGGCAAGTCACCTAACCTTTCTGAGCTTCAGCTGTCCACTGGGGCCCACAGAGGACAGTGTCCTTGTCACGAGGCTGCGGTGCAGTTTAGGAGAGCTGAGAGATGGGAACGTGCTCTGTAAATGCTTTAGCTCTGCTAGGCTGAGGCGAGGCTTTGCTAATCTTCCCTGGAGCTTCGCAACCGCTGGGTCAGTCTCCTTGATGGCGGGGCAAGTCTCTTCCTTTCTCTTGCTCTTCACATGACTGTCCACATGGAGAACCTTAATGAATGAATGATGGATGGATGGATGGATGGGTGGACAGATAGACAGATGGATGGATGGATAGATGAATTACCTCTCATGCAGAGAGTATTAGGGTCAAACCAGCAGCTGGAGTCACACACCGGAGGGGCTCCTCCTGGAAAGTGTATGGCCCTGCCCAGGGGCTGCACTTGCCATGTGCCTGTGTCCAGGATGTGAGTGCGGACCAGCTGGCTTCCCTGACCATCTGTGTCCAAAATGACATACGGAGCCAGCCTCCTGCCCTTCTCATCTGTCCGGATCCTCTGGCTAAAGCCAGCCACATACAGAGACCCTGTGTGTTCCCCTAAGTGGGTCCCTGAGAATCCTGCCCCACAGCTCTCAGAGCTGTTCAGGGCATGGGCCAGCAGGACAACAGCATCATAGATGGTTCCAAAGAGTGGGGACACCTGTGGAAGAGAAGGTCTCTCAACCCCATAACCCCATGGCATAGGCTCCCAGACATTTCTGGGTCCTGGCCCTCCCGCCAGCAGCAACTGTTTGAATTATCATCCCCTTTCCCCTTTCCCCATTCCCCTATACAGTGCTTTCTTTAGTCCCACCATTACTTTAGTCCCCGCTCAGAAGCCTCACCATCTCCACCATCATGGCGGCCACCACCACTCACAGACATCTCAGACTTACCTAATATGCCCAAAACTGAACTCCTGATTCTACCGCACCAAACTCCACTCCCGCCAGATTTTAAGAAATGGAACTACCACCTGCCCAGTTTCTCAAGCCTAGGCTTGATTCCCAGCTTCTCTATTTCTCTCTTCCAGTTCATCATCAAATCTTTTTGGTTTGATACCAGAATTTGTTCCCAATCTAACTGACTTTTCACCACATCTACTACTGTCACTTGGGTCCCAGCCCCCCTCACTGCTCACCTGAACCACACAGGAGCCTCCTAAGGGCCTTATCGCTTCATCTGGTCCTCTTCAGACCATTCCCCAAAAAGCAACCAAAGCATGTTTTCAAAAAACATAAATCTTTTCTTACTTAAACCTCGCTGATGGTTTTCCATTTCATTTGTAAGATCAAACTCCTTACCTGGCTTGCAAAGCCTCACATGATCAGGCCCCAAGCTCATCTCAGACCCCTTCCCCATCACTCACGATAGTCCTGCCATTCCACACTCCCTTTCCTCCTGTTCCTCTGGCCATTGACGCTCACCTGCCTCTGGGCCTTTGCACTTACTCTTTCCCCTGCTT